GGCCAGCGGCGTCCCTCAGCGAGGGTGATCTTGTAGTGGAGCGCCTTCCATGAGACACCTCTCCATGAGCCCCAGAGGGAGATTTCCAGAAAGTTCCATTAGCTTGTGTGGCACCTGGCGACGTCCACGTCACCCAGGGGACTAGGAACGCCTGGGTCCTGGTCCTGGTCTGGCGGGGGCTCACCCTGGCGTGTTCCCTCTCAGCCCGGGGTGACGGCTGCCCCTCTGTCACCCCTGCACTCTTTAGCACGCTCTTTACTTCTTGCTAGCTAATCCCTCGTTCCTCTCATCTGCTGTTTGACTTAATGAGTCTTTACATTACACTTTCCCTGCTCAGATTACCGTGTAGTTTTGCTCTCACTGTTGGACAGAGTGGTACCTCCCCCCAGCCCTTTGGATGGGCCGACCTCCTTCCAATCACCCTCCACTCTCAGCCCCCAGCTTCAGGCTTGTCACCCCAGCCTGTTCAATCTGGTCCAAGCAATTAGCTCAGGGAAAGACAAGCCTCATTCAGTCCAATGAGACCCATCCCCGAGCCCTCCCGTGCCCAGCCACATCACCCTCCTTCACACTACCCTGCGTCACCCAGCAGTACAGTTGGGGTGAACTGATCCCATCTTCAGCTTGGGGGCTAGTGGGGGAGAGGAACAGTGCTGACCAAACCGAGACATCAGCACATCTCATTCTTCCTCTAAATAATTAACCCAGAGACTTGTACTTAGGTAGAAGCCAGGAGGACTAACAAGATTGTGGAACTTTCATTTGTGTTGTCAGGGAGCAGAATTTCTTCTTTCTCGCTGTCTTTAGTCTAGAAGCATGTACCTTGAGAAGGCTTAGCAGGCCTCACCTTGAGAAGATGAGAAGAGGGCCCACAGAGGAAAAAGAGAGAAACCTGGTCCTTGTCACATTTTTATACCTTGATCAAGCCTTGCCTGAAGTTCATTCGTTCTGGACTTTCAGTTGATGAGCTAACATATTCCCTTTTTGAAAAGCTGGGTTTCTGTTATTTAAAACAGAAAACGTCCTGATGATTATGTTTTCCTCCCACAGCAGTATGCACACTGTGCCAACGTGCATTGCGTTTAATGTCTCCCCTGAAAGCCTATAAAATTTCAAAGGCAGGAGCTGAGTCTTGTTTACCCTGGAGGTTACGTATATCTTGGCACCACGTCTTGCACGTAGGAGGCATCCAGTAAGTTGCCTCTTGAAAGAACAACTAATAGATAAATTCCAAACAGCCCAGCTCATGAAGTAAATGCCACGATCGGTCTGACAAAAAGAACCCCGGCAGTAATTTCTCCCTTTATAATCAGAGGCAAGGGTATTTTATACCAATTGATGGCTGTTATTCAAACGTAAGAGCCACGTCAGAGCTGCAGGGCTGAACAGCAGACGACTTAGAAGTCACGCCACAGAGGACTCACTAGGCTTTGTGATGCCAGCGTCACAAAAATATTAGTATTAGACTCACCCTCCAGACACTGGGGCGGCAGTGTTAGATTTGGCCCCTGGTAGCCTCGAAAACAATCAGAATTTCCCGAGACGCTGACTAAAGGGTTGTGGTTTTTATTTTGTTACTGACTTTCCAGAGAGAAATGCTGAGGAAATCGAGAACACCATCATTCCAGGACTTAGCCTGGGCACAGGAAGAGAGGGACCGCTTCCCTGGCACACAGAGGTCAGGTGCGCGTGTGTGTGATGCCGTCGCCAGCGCGAAGGAACGACAATGCAATCTGATTACATTAATTCAGAGCACAGGGGAAATAAACATCGCCCTCCCTGATCGCGGGCTGAAAGGCAGGATTCCTTTACACGTGCGAGGTGTCCCATCTCAGCCTAACACACTGACAACGTCACCTGATTGCAGGAAACGCCAGGTGTCAGCAGGGAGGCGTCACCAGCGACTTCAACAACGCGAGTGATTGCAATTCAGGAACTCTTAATGATGTCTGATGTGCAAACGCCTCCTTCAGCTTCGCTCAGGAACATCCAATTCCCACTCTGATGATAACTCGGCTTTGAACTACATGTCACTCACTATTCCATCACCGTCCTCCTGAATGCAAAGTAGCTACAGCAGCAAAAACCCCTTGCAGTCATCGGAATCCATAATATGACACATTCAACAGGGAGCTCAACAGCAAAGCGCGCAGGAAACCCTGCATAACGCAGAGCTTAAACGAGCAACTCGAGGATCTGTGGGAAAGGACGGACTCTTCAGAGTCCTATAAACTCAAGTTTACAAACATAATTCTAAGGTCGGAGAATGCAAACATGCAAACACCAATATGCTACCAAACCATTCCGTGTCTGCAGGACTCCCAGCTGTTCACGCGTTTTTAGAGGCTGGATGATACTTGCTCGCAGTCCCTCACTTTGCCAACAACTACCTAGAGGGGACAGGGCCAAAAACGAAGGCGGGTATCTTAGGAGAACAAAATGACTCTCCTTCATCTACTTGGTGAATTATTGATGGAAAAGCAAGAAAATAAGTCTCTGATAAGAAGGTCACTCCCTCTGTGTTCCTGTAAATGACTCAGAAATGAGAAAAGTCAGTATCTGCAAAGAAGAGCAGTGAGATCTTGGCAGACAGCCTGAAAGATGAAAAGTAAGATATCATCTTTTAACGCTTAAAGGTAAAACAGCTACATAGCGGTTGACACGGCAGGAAACCACAAAACTGGACAGGATATGAAACAACGCTCCAACCCAACAGGAAATCAAGTCGCGACTTTATTAACGTCTGAAAGCGCCTGTCGCTCTTTCTCATTTACGTTCTGTCACCCATGTGGTGAAGCAACGCTTTCATCATTTGGAAGAAGCCTTGATAAAAGTCTAGGGGATAATTTCTAACCTGATTTATCAGAATACATAAAGATTTCTTCCTTCATCTTGAGTTAAAAACACAAACAGATGCCGAAAAAAACTCCTGTTTGTATAGGAGAGCATGTGCTTCCATGGAAAAGAGTAAAAATGCTGCTAAGTCGAATCATATACCATGCTGATTTGCACAAAATTGTTGATACATTGTCTTTGCAGGGTGGGGGGATTGCAATAGTCCCATCCTATGAAACCCTGAGCGACCTGAACCCAAGTGTGACCCAGGCCACCCCTCGAGTCACCCAGCGACAGCACCGGAAACCGCAGTTCCCCACTTCCTCCACGAGAGGGCGGCCGTCCACCACCGCTGCTCCCTGCGCTGGCTGCGCTCTAAGAACAGATGTGTTACTCAGTCTACGATCATTTTTAACGTTACTGACAGTCTGACAGGACTACTTAATATTGCTGGGCTGACCTTTCTATATTTTGTGCTAAATCCGTTTTTTTTTAATTCCCTTAATCTGCCGTGTCGGGAAGAGAATGCACACACCCTCGAGGCCACACTGGACGCGCTGCGGGGATGGGACCAGCCCACAGCACTGGTGGAAACAGGCGGGTTGGAGAGGCAGGGCCCGGCGCCACGCACCACCTCAGGGCCCAGATGCCAGCGGCACCCGCCGTGCGTGGGCCGTCCCGGGGAACACGGGCCTTCCTCACTGCCCAGGGGGCGCTGAACACGCTTCCAGGGCCCCGGCAGCAAGAACACGCAAGGCGGGAAGTTCGCTTCCTGAGGCTCAGCCCTGCTCTCCTCCTGGTAGAGGAAGGTTTCCATCTGCGGGAAGAGCTTCCTGAAAATGATGCCTCTGAAGACTCAGCAGGCCGTGAGAGAAAGGTACCCAAGCTTTTTTCCCCAACACACGCGAGCAGGAAGCCACCTGCGGCTGACAGGTGCGCATTAGGGGCAGGGCTGCGCGATGAACGCTTCCTAGGGTTCCCCCGTCTAAACCTGTCATGAGCCCCACAGTAACAGGTGAGCTGCCGTCTGAGACGCTCTGGGCGGTGGGCTGGGGGTGCTGGCCAGGGGACACCAAACCAAGACGAATCGTAGCACGGGCAGGGGTACTGACTGGTATATAATAAAACAGATAGACAAGTGTATACTGCACAGCACAGGGGAATATATTCAAGATCTTTTAGTAGCTCATGGTGAAAAAGAATATGAAAATGAATGTATGTATATTAATGTATGACTGAAAAATTGTGCTGTGCACCAGAAATTGACACAACATTGTAAACTCAGTAAAAACAAAAACAAAAACAAAAAGAATATGAAAACGAATATATGTATACGCATGACTGCAACATTATGCTGCACACCAGAAACTGATTTTATTTCAATAAAACTAAACTAAACTAAAATTAAATTAAAGTTTTAAAAAGGAAACAAAGGCGTTAGAAGGAACCAAACTCCATGGTTTCTCAAACTGTATCTAATACAATATTTTAAATTTAGATAAATGAAACCTCAAGAATCAAAAGGAGAAAAAGGAATCAAGGCACCCTGACAAGCAGAGCACACACAGAGGGGCCCTAGGGGCCAGTGGGTCCCACACGCGCCCAGAGACCCAGAGCGGGCCTGGTGCAACAAGACTGAGCCTTGTCATCAGTGCTGCGGGCACGGCTGCTCTTTGCTGCCAGACTAAGGAAGGTTCAAAGCACATAATTCTACAAAAGGGCGAGGCTGGGACGGTTAATAAAATGTAATTCTGCGCGGGATCTACGTCAAGGTGGGCAGAGGCGGTCAGCGCGGCCAGCTCCCCAGACGAGCCGGGTCACCGCACGGGCCAGCACTGCCCCGAGTCTCAGGACAAGGCAGGGCAGGTGCACCACGCGGGCCCTCTGCAGCCTGACAGAAGCACTGTTCTGCACTCCAGGGAGTAGAGAGGAATCCAGACTCCATTCTGAGAGGAAGAAAACAATTTCAGGGAATCTTCTGACTTTTTAAAGCAAATCATTAGATACCATGTTGGTATTAGAAAAACTGGGGGACACCCCTCGGGTGAGTAGCCAAGCGATCTGGTGAGCAGCGAAACGTCTCCAGTAGCAATCAGTGATGTCACACCCATGGCCAATGTTGGCGCCCCGGCAAAGCAGGTTTTGGTAAGTTTCTACATACGTACAATTTTCAGATGCGACAAGAGCCTCATGACGTCCGCCATGTCCGCCAGGATGAGCAGGCGCGTGACCGCCGAGAGCAGGGCCCTGGCCGCCCGCACCATGGTGCCACGCTTCACGGATGAGCACGGGTCGTCCGCAAACTCCGACGAGGCGATGCGCATGGTCTCACCTGGAAGACAGACAGGGAGACGCACGTGGGTAGACGGGAGGCTCGGAGGCTGGCGACCGCAAAGACCCGTGGCCGGGTGACTGCTGCTCTCACTGCGAAACCTCCATGACGGGGTGGGGGGTGCTTCCGGCTCCCTCAGGGCAGCAGAACCCTTCCGGTCAGGTGCATCAGTGCACACAGACAGGTGCAGGGGTCAACACGAGGCATGAAGTGATGCTCTTAGCATCGATAAGGGGCACGCTGAGTTCAGCCTGTCCAAGAGTTGAGCTGAATTTGCCCGACCTTAATCATCCTCACTCTGCGTGTCGCTGGGAACCAGTGATGCTCACTAGGCTAGCTGGTTTCTGATAGTTCAAGAAAGAAGGTAACTGCTCCACAGGGGATGCAACGCAAGCCCTTGGCCGCATAACACTGCACTCTTAATTGAGCTAATCAGGCAGCAACAGACTGGAGCTACTCCAGGTCTGGTAACACTGCTAGGGAGCTGTTCTCCAGTGTAATAATAGAGGGTATTTACAAGACAGCCGAACCGATTCAACCAACGCTTATTAAGCACATACTGGTGTCAGAGTCTCTACCGAGGCTCTGGAATCGCAAAGATTTCAATTTTGCAAAGAGTCACAGAAGGTGACTAGAACGCCCTGACCTCAGAGGCCTCAGAGAGTTCACAACCTAAAGAGGAAACACATAGTAAACACGCACTCATCATGCGGTGATTATGCGCCAAAATGGACACAGGATTAAGAATTGCAGGCGAAGGAGAGAAGGAAGTGATTTACTCATTTAGTGTGAGGCTGGCGGGAAGCTGTCAACACTGATGGGCTTTGAAAAACCAAACGGCATCCACCAGGAAGACAGAGGTGGGAAAGGCGCCCAGGGCGGCGGGAACACCACGCGGCTCTAGAGCTGGGCGCCGGGCGCCGAGGCGGGCAGGGAGCTGGCGCCACTGGGAGGTCACAGCCAGGGAGGGGCGTGGGGAAGAGGCGCTGGGGCCGGGACCCTGTGGAGGAGATTCGGACCGTGTCCTCAGCAGGGAGGGAGATGACTAACAGGTTTTTATTTTGGCCGCATTACATAAAACAAACCGGAAAGGACAAGACTAGAGCAAGAAAACAGGCAAACGTGGTTACTATCAGAGATGGCAGTCGTGAGGACGTGGACCAGGGTACAGAGGGGAAGGGGGCATTATTGAGATGCGCGGATCTGGGGTTGATCAGGTATGGAACTCAGGATGGAGGGTATGGACACAACACAAAAGACAGGTGCACATTTGCCCAAAGGGATCCCGGAGTGGGAAACAGAGAGAGCTCGTTAACCACAGAGGCTGGCCTCTTATCAACGGGGTGGACAGCCACGGGGGGTGGGGGGCAGAGGACCAGGGAAAAGCGTAAGGAAGCTTCACACTGCGGAGCACACACAGCTCCCATACACCTGACGTGCAGAGTTAATCGGACCGGCTACTTAATTCAGGGAGACACAATTCATTCAAGACTTCATGTATCAAGTGACAACTTCTCATCTATTCATCAAAACCAAGTCCACTTAAATAAAGTCAGTTACATCACTACAAATCTGTGCCTCCTGTAAATTATCCTAAGATCCAAGGGAAAATTAAAAGAAAAAAAAAACTTCTCACCATTTTCCAGGCAGATCACAATATAATGCAATTCCCTCCGTGTGAAGAGTTACTTAAACCCTAACAGTGATCCTTTCTACACTTAGGAAGGGCGGCTGTGTATGGAAACACATCGTGCTGTTGGATTTTCAGAGCGGCCACCATCTATGGTAAGCACGTTACATGCCGGCCAGCTTTGCCTTCACGCCCAGGAGTGAACAGCTCCATACACGGCAACAGACAGCCTGGGAGAAATTTTAAAATTCATCTTTGGACTGGCACCGCGGTGAATTCTCAAGATGCGCATCCCTGGAGGAGTAAATAAACTTTAAGGCAGAGGCTGGCAGTTAGGAGACACATGTTCAACCCAAGGGTCCCACCCGTGCCACAGGCTTACCCAGCCTCCCCTCTGCCACCCCCCAGCTCCCAGAGAAGACCCAGCAGCAGACGCCTGTGCGGTGCGGGGAAGCCACCTCGTCCTCACCCTGTGGAGCGCGGCGAGAGAGGACCTTTCACACCAAGATGAGTCTGACGAAACACTGAGAGGGCCACACAGATAAAGAATGGATGCACTCGTACACGGGTAACAGAGGAGAACCAGTCTGACTGTGTGTTAGATCTGTTCCTTTGGCCCTAACCCTGCGCCCTGTTTCCTGGGCTTCGTCTCGCTGGTTCTGCACCTTCTGTAAACGAAATGTTGCCTAGAGCCTGACATACACAGGAGAGCCTGTTCTCAAGGCTCTGACCTTTTTAGGGCATAACACTTCTGCATCCATATAGAGATAAAAAGTTGCAGAATAGAAAATAACATGTTTCACTGGAGGTTTACAGGGACACAGTGACCTGACCCACGTGGACGGCGGCGAGAACAAAGGATTCCAACACCGAGAAGTTTGTAACAAGCACATCTTCTTCCCTTTTCAGTATAAAAAGAGCAAGAACTCTAACTGGGGGGGAGATGGTTCTCCAGGACATTAGTCCCCCCATCTTCTCTGTCTGCCAGCTTTCCAGATAAAGTCGCTATTCCTTGCCCCAACACCCCATCTCCTGATTTACTGGCCTGTCCTGTGGCGAGCGGAGTGAGCTTAAAACCTGGTAACGTACAGTGTTAACAGGTAAATCAGCTGCTATTGGCACGGATCCACTGACTCAAGGCGGGGGGGGGGAGTTCTTCTGTAGGTAAACCTAGGGAGGCACGTGGTTGACCCCAAATTCTTCAGGCCGAGTTGGGGTGCGCCATGTCTCGTGAGGAAGAGCGGGCTCCCCGGGTAGGGCTGTTCTCAGAGGGGGAAAGGGGCCCTAAGAGGAAGCCCAGTCGCGCCCCCTCCACCTCGTGGGGAAACCACACTTCATCAAACTGATTTTCAGCATCAGGTTTTCATACGGGGGGGGGGGCGCATGATGGCACGTCACCCAGATGCTGACTACCCGGTCAGCAGTACTGCTTCAAGGCCCGTGGAGGACATACGACAGCACAGGGCTCGCAGGTGGAGCTATTCAGCATGGGGGCCACAGCGGGCACTCCTGGAGGGGGCTCAGGAGACGCCCAGGAGGAGGAGGATGAGGAGGAGGATGAGGCAGGGACAGAGGCAGGTCCACTTTAGCAGGTGTGCCTCTGCCAGTGGAAATCTCATGCCACGTTCTGAGATTATCCTAAAATAAACAGGAGACAATGTAATCCAATTTAAATTCAAACTAAAAGCTCAGTTGAAGCAGATAACCAATGATTTCATGGTATTAAAGATTCCCAGGGAAAAAGGCAATCTGAAGTCAGCTCTAACTGTAATGCGTCTTGATATCCCTGTAGTTTTAGGATTACCAAAATAAAACGGAAACCTATATTACAAAATGATAAGCGGGTTTATCAGAACAGAACCAGCTACTTCCCCAGGGAGCTGCTTTTTCTATAAGACTGAAATGTTCAGCTAAGAACCAGCGTGCATGTGCCGGAGAGGGGAGGGGGCAGGGAAGAGAGGACAACAGAGCCACCTGGCTCTTGTACATACACTTGTGTTCAAGCTCGTTAACTTGGCCACAGACTTAAGCTCAGAGCCGGGCTTCTGTGATCAAGCCTTTGATCCTCTCAAGCCACCACCACCTGCTGGAAAGAAACAGCTCCAAATAAGTGCCTTAGGGGAACCAGTGATAGTTAACAGGTATACACAGTGCTTCTGTATGAAGGTTTCTTACGTAAGTGTGCTTCTAAAAGCGTTACACACATCAACCCATGGGTTAACAGAGCAGTTACACCTTCAAAGTCACAGACACCACGGATCACATCCCGACTCCTCCCCAACTGTTATGAGATATGAGAGACCGGTGATTATTTAACTTCCGTGTTTCAGTCCCCGCAAGTGTAAAAGAGGGGTGAACACAGCGATGGCTACCTGGCAGACTGTCACTAGGGCTAAAGTGAATGAAAGGTAATCCACTCAAGGTGCCCAGCACAAGACCTTACGAGTAAATGGGCTCCACCCGTCATCACCATTACCACCACCGCTACCACTGTCACCGAGATCCTCTCCAACATGACAATAATGGTGGGAGAACTCCTGGTCAAAGGTTTGGAAGTCCATTTTGTGGTTGACTTCAGTGCTTGTGTACATAATAATGTAGAAGCAAGAAAACATTTGCCTAATAAAAAGCATATTGCTCTAAGGCAGAATGTGCACTCAGCCCTCCCCCAAAATGGTGCTGGTGCTTGGCTTTTCAAACTGGCGCTGGTTCTGGTTCTTATGCAAAGGTCTCGGGACCCTGGCAAGGACCTGTTAAACGCAGCAAGAGCCACACTGCGTACAATGGCAATTACTGCCTTGCTCAAAGGCAGCAGAAAACCATAAACTTGGGAACAGTAAACAGTGATGGCTAAGCCTAAAAGAAAAATGGAGTGCAGAGGATCAATGCTGAATCCAGTGTCACTTAATATGTACATAAAGATAAAGAGAAAACAAATTGATGAACATGTAAATTGCACTGTGCAGTGAAAGTGTTTCTGAAATAACTAGTTAGCTTGTAAAGCAAATAAGCACTCAGTAAATTATCTTTTCTATAAATTCAAAATTTCAATAACCCCTGTATCTGCAAGGCAAGTCTTTCTATCAAAAGCAGACCACTGACCTCTTTATATTTGTAAGTCAATAAATGCTTCTATTGATCAGCATCTTTATTCTAGTACAACCATGACTACAAATCAAAGCCCACTGAAATGTGAGCAGACTGAGAACATGGCACCTGGTAGTTAAAATGTGATTTCGAAAACCTTTTAATGTGTTGAGCAAAGAAAAACTGTCACAACTGGAACCTAGACTGGACAGCAGAGATAATATGATCGTCAAAAACGCTGTCATCTAACTCTGAATGAGACGGCTCACCGTCTCAACATGCA